ATAATGGTATCTTTTCTCTAAATTGAGTTATTCCAATTGCTACACCTATTAGCAATGTACAAATATTCTCATCAACTTCCTTTTAAATACTGATTTTTTTTATTGCATTTTAGGTTTTGGGGTACATGTGAAGAACATGCAAGATTGTTGCATAGGTACACACATGGCAGTGTGGTTTGCTGCCTTCCGTCCCCTCACCTGTATCTGTCATTTCTCCCCATGCTATCTCTTCCCACTACCCCACCCCCCGCCCCTCCCCCATTTCCCCCCAACGGACCCCAGTGTGTAGTGCTCCCCTCCCTGTGTCCATGTGTTCTCATTGTTCAACACCCGCCTATGAGTGAGAATATGTGGTGTTTGATTTTCTGCTCTTGTGTCAGTTTGCTGAGAATGATAGTTTCCAGGTTCATCCATGTCCCTACAAAGGACGTGAACTGATTGTTTTTGATGGCTGCATGATATTCCATGGTGTATATGTACCACATTTTCCCTATCCAGTCTATCATCGTTAGAATGGCGATCATTAAAAAATCTGGAAACAACAGATGCTGGAGAGGATGTGGAGAAATAGGAACACTTTTACACTGTTGGTGGGAATGTAAATTAATTCAACCATTGTGGAAGAAGGTGTGGCGATTCCTCAAGGAACTAAAAATAGAAATCCCATTTGACCCAGCAATCCCATTACTGGGTATATATCCAAAGGATTATAAATACTGAATATTTATTATACTTTTCAGTTTTGGACAATTTAAAGGATATAAAGTGGTATGTTAATATGATTTTAAGGTACACATATATTTATGAGCCCTTGTATATTTTTTTCATGAAATTCTTCCATTTTGGGGGTTTATTTATATTAGTCATTTGTCTTTTCTTATTGATTTTTAAGGAGTTTTAATAGATTCTGGATACATTTTTCACTGTTTATATATATTTTTATTTCAGATTTGGGGACTACTTTTTGAACTAATTATCACATATTTTCATAAACAGATATTATTAATTTTGACATATTTTCTTAATGTGTTTTTTCAGAGCTTAGCATATATATTATTTATGATTTATTTCATGGATGCATTCAACTATTTTTAAAAATATTATTTAAAGTTTGGCCTTTCCTGAAGTTTCTGATCTGTCTGGAATTATTTTTTTGTGTTCAACATGATGTAGGGATTGTCAAGAATGCTGGAAAGTCTGAGTTGTTACCCTACTTGCATGTTCGTAAGTTAGCCTTTGACAGTTTCATGGATATTAGCAGAAGATACGTGACTCCTGGGTCAGCTACTAGGGACTTTATTACTCAAAGCAATAGCAGCAGCTAGAATCTCAGAACTCACGTCATTTCCTTGGACCCCAATTTCCATTAGGTGATGTAGCAATTCAGGTGACCCCCAGCACCACAGTGGATTGCATTATTGAAGAGAAACCTCAAGCTAAGCAAACCTGAATCTTTTGTAACGGGCAGTACACATGCTTGACCTTTGCCCCAGATAGCCCCAGAGTCATCAGAGCTACTCTTCGCTCCAGAAGGAGATACTATCTCTATCTTTCAAGGTTGTCTGCTATAGAAACATACTTAGGAAGATAGTCTGGAACAAAGGCAGCTAGTGTTTCTGTTTGAAAAACATGGAAATATGAGAGGCCCATAGAGAATTGCCTTACAACAGGAATCTACTTCCTCCCCAACCACATATAGTGACCAATTGGGGCAAATCAGCATGATTTAATGCATAATTTCTTATTTCTTCAGATGTCTGCAATGCATAGTTTGACATAATCAGGTTTTATATATGTCTGTGTCTGTTCTGGGCTCTGTAGTCTATTAATTCATAGAGTATTACCGCATCCATTCCATATATATTTGCTTATCACACCTTTATAAATGTTGTTGATCTCTGGTAAAACAATTCCCTCCCTTGCCCTAGGCAAAGACCCACTTGTTCTTCAGGAATATCTTATATATTCTTATCCCTTCAGTCTTCCTTAAATTTAAAATATCTGCACAAGTTCCAATGCAAAACATTTCACCTTGTAAGTCAGACCCTACCGCTTGGATTATTTTGCTTCCTCCAGAAGTTTATTGAAAATGTCTTATAGTAAGCTTTATGCAGTGCCTCCAGTGTGACTTCCCACCATAGATAGGTCTAAATCTTGCTTCCTGTATGCTGCATGCTACCCTTTAAGAACTAAAGTTCTGAGTGGCTGGCAAGATAGCAGGCAAATAGTCTCTGTTTGAAGATGACATGATTGTATATTTAGAAAACCCCCATTATCTCAGCCCAGAATCTCCTTATGCTGATAAGCAACTTCAGCAAAGTCTCAGGATACAAAATCAATGTGCAAAAATCACAAGCATTCCTGTACACCAATATAAGACAAAAAGAAAACCAAATTATGAGTGAACTTCCATTGAAAATTGCTACAAAGAGAATAAAATACCTAGGAATACAATGTAAAGGAGAACTACCAACCACTGTTCAAGGAAATAAGGAAGACACAAACAAATGGAAAAACATTCCATGCTCATGAATAGTCAGAATCAATATCATGAAAATGGCCATACTCCCCAAAGTAATTTATAGATTCAATGCTATCCTCATCACACTAATTTCTTCACAGAATTAGAAAAAAAAAACTTTAAATTTCATATGGAACCTAAAAAGTGTCCATATAGCCAAGACAATCCCAAGCAAACAACAACAACAACAACAACAAAAAGTCACAAAGCTGGAGGCATCACACTACCTGACTTCGAACTATACTGCAAGCCTACAGCAACCAAAACAATATGGTACTGGTACTAAAATAGGTATATAGACCAATGGAACAGAACAGAGGCCTTAGAAATAATGCCACACATCTACAACCATCTGATCTTTGACAAACCTAACAAAAACAAGCAATTAGGAAAGGATTCCCTATCTAATAAATGGTGTTGGGAAAACTGGCTAGCCATATACAGAAAACTAAAACTGGACTCCTTCCCTTCACCTTACACAAAAATTAACTTAAGATGAATTAAAGACAAATGTAAGACCTAAAACCACAAAAACCCTAGAAGAAAACCTAGGCAATACCATTCAGGACATAGGCATGGACAAAGACTTCATGACTATGATCAGAGTGAACAGGCAACCTACAGAATGGGAGAAAATTTTTGCAACATATCCATCTGACAAAGGGCTAATATCTGGAATCTACAAAGAACTTAAACAAATTTACAAGAAAAAAATAATGCCCCAAAAACGTGGGCAAAGGATAGGAACACACATTTCTCAAAGAAGACATTTATGCATCCAACAAACATATGAAAAAAATTTCATCATCACTGGTCATTAGAGAAATGCAAATCAAAACCACAGTGAGATACCATCTCATGCCAGTTAGAATGGCAATCATTACAAAGTCTGGAAACAATAGATGCTGGAGAGGATATGGAGAATAGGAACAATTTTACACTGTTGGTGGGAGTGTAAATCAGTTCAACCATTGTGGAAGACAGTGTGGTGATTCCTCAAGGATCTAGAACCAAAAATATCAGAAAAACCATTATTCTCAGTAAACTAACACAGGAACAGAAAACCAAACACTGCATGTTGTCACTCATAAGTGAGAGCTGAACAATGAGAACATATGGACACAGAGAGGGGAACATCACACACTGGGCCTGTAGAGGGCTGGGGGACTAGGGGAGGGATAGCGTGAAGAGAAATACCCAGTGTACATGATGGGTTGATGGGTGCAGCAAAACACTATGGCACGTGTATACCTATGTAACAAACCTGCACATTCTGCAGATGTATCCCAGAACTTAAAGTATAATAATAAAAATGAACAAATAAAGTTCTAGTCATAAGACATCAGCAGTTGGTCTGGAACAAACAGCAGCTTCAGCTCATTTACTTCTCTGCATATATCCTTTCACATTGTTTTCACCTTTTCAGAACTTTTCATGCTTTTGTTTTCGACAGCTCAGCTATGTATTCTAAATGATGTTTTGTGGATTTTATGTAACATTTTTAGAAATTTTGCACTGATAGTAATTTTCAGGATACTTATCAATCCTATTGCCAGAAACCAAAGTCTCATATTGATAGTGTTTTTAAATGGTTTAATCTTACAGAATTGTGCATTTTGCACATAATAAACATTCAACAAAGTGCATTTAATTGAACTGAAAAAAATTTATTTGTGTTTCTCTGATGTTACTGTATCATTCACGTTACCAGTATCTAATTTGGTAATACTATCATTAGATGACTTTTTCCTCTTCTTAAAATTTTGCAAACTTAAAGAATATTTTGAACATGCAGAAAATCATATAATTGAATCTTTGCAATTCCCACCAAGATTAAATTCATGCTAATATGGTGCCTTATATTTTTTTACTTCACAGTTATATGTACTTAAAAATAACATTTAATCATTTTTGTATATTTTGTAATTTAAAAAATTTATGAGAATAAAGTATATTCTTTATGTCTGTTACAAACTGCTATTCTTCTCAGTCAACATCTTGTTTGAAAAATTTATCTATACTGATACACTAAGCTCTAATATAATTACTCCAAGCTCTATATAGAATTCTATTATAAATCATATTTTATTTAATAATGTTTTTATTCTACAATAAATATATATATATATATCCTACTGAGCATATGTTTGATGTTTTGTTTGTAAATTAAATTTTTAGAAATGAATATACATTATAATTGGATATATTTCACTTTAAATTATTAGGTATGTCCACTTTCTTATATCTAATCTTTATGAGTGTGATGGAATTGATTATTGTAAAAGATATGACATTTTAACCTTATTTCATTATTAAATACAATTTGTGAAAGGTATAGTATGGGTCAAGATAAGAATTATGCTAGAGATATGTTGTGCATGATACCTTGCATATAATTCAAATTGTGCCAAAATCTATATTGTTAAATAATGAAAAATTAGTGATTTGGAAACTTATGCTCCATTTTTTTCCCCTCTAGGTATTTATGAGCCTCCATTTCTTATACTACTGCAGTGAACCAACATTGGATGTGAAAATTGCCTTTTGTCAGGTGTGTGTTCCTTACAGGTAGAACAAGGTACAGTATATTCCCTTGTATTTCCACTTTGCCATTCCATTTGCATATACTCCGCACCAAAGTCAGCACTTATATTATATTAAAAATAGTTTCAGATCAGTGTCTGGCAAGATGCCAAATAGGAACAGCTCCAGTCTGTAGCTCCCAGTGAGATAAATGCAGAAAGCAGGTGATTTCTGTATTTCCAACTGAGGTACCCTGCTCATCTCATTGGGACTGGTTAGAGAGTGGGTGCAGCCCATGGAGGGTGAACCAAAGCAGTGTGGGGCATTGCTTCACCCAGGAAGTGCAAGGGATCAAGGAACTCCCTCCCCTACACAAGGGAAGCCATGAGGGACTGTGCCTTGCACTCCGCCTAGATACTACACCTTTCCCATGGTCTTCACAACCCACAGACCAGGAGGTTCCCTCAGGTGTCCAGAAAACCAGGGTCCTGGGTTTCATATATATGTGTGTATATATATATATATATATATATATATATATATATATATATATATACACACAATTGAGTTTTAGGTTTTGGGGTACATGTGAAGAACATGCAAGATTGTTGCATAGGCACATACATGGCAATGTGGTTTGCTACCTTCCTCCCCATCACCTATAGCTGGCATTTCTCCCCATGTTGTTCCTCCCTAACTCCCCACCCCCTGCTGTTTCTCCTGTAGTTCCCCCCTACAAACCCCAGTGTGTGATGCTCCCCTCCCTGTGTCCATGTGTTCACATTGTTCAACAACCACCTATGAGTGAGAACATGCGATGTTTGATTTTCTGTTCTTGTGTCAGTTTGCTGAGAATGATGGTTTCCAGGGACACAAACTCATTGTTTTTTATGGCTGCATAGTTTCCCTTGGTGTATATGTGCCACATTTTCCCTGTCCAGTCTATCATCGATTTGGGTTGGTTCCAAGTCTTTGCTATTGTAAACAGTGCTGCAATGAACATTCATGTGCATGTGTACTTACTGTAGAATGATTTATAATCCTTTGGGTATATATCCAGTAATGGGATTGCTGGGTCAAATGAAATTTCTATTTCTAGGTCCTTGAGGAGTCGCCACACTATCTTCCACAATGGTTGAACTAATTTACACTCCCACCAACAGTGTAAAAGTGTTCCTATTTCTTCACATCCTCTCCAGCATCTGTTGTCTCCAGATTTTTTAATGACTGCCATTCTAACTGGCATGAGATGATATCTCAATGTGGTTTTGATTTGCATTTCTCTAATGACCAGTGATGATGAGCATTTTTTCCTATGTTTGTTGGCCTCATGTATGTCTTCTCTTGTAAAGTATGTGTTCATATCCTTCACCCACTTTTGATTGGGCTTGTTTGTTTTTTTCCTGTAAATCTGTTTTAGTTCTTTGTAGATTCTGGATATTAGCCCTTTGTCAGGTGGGTAGATTGCAAAAATGTTTTCCCATTCTGTTGGTTGCCGATTCACTCTAATGACTGTTTCTTTTGCCGTGCAGAAGCTGTGGAGTTTGATTAGGTCCCATTTGTCTATTTTGGCTTTTGTTGCCAATGCTTTTGGTGTTTTAGCCATGAAGTCCTTGCCTATGCCTATGTTCTCAATGGTTTTGCCTAGATTTTCTTCTAGGGTTTTTATGGTGTTAGGTCTTATGTTTAAGTCTTTAATCCATCTGGAGTTAATTTTAGTGTAAGGTGTCAGGAAGGGGTCCAGTTTCTGCTTTCTGCATGTGGCTAGCCAGTTTTCCCAACACCATTTATTAAATAGGGAATCCTTTCCCCATTGCTTGTTTTTGTCAGGGTTGTCAAAGATCAGATGGTTGTAGAGGTGTGGCATTGCATCCAAGGCCTCTGTTCTGTTTCATTGGTCTATATGTCTGTTTTGGTACCAGTTCCATGCTGTTTTGATTACTGTAACCTGGTAGTACAGTTTGAAGTCCGGTAGTGTGATGCCTCCAGCTTTGTTCTTTTTGCTTTGAATTGACTTGGCTATGTGGGCTCTCTTTTGGTTCCATATGAAGTTTAAGGTGGTTTTTTCCAGTTCTGTGAAGGTCATTGGTAGCTTGATGGGGATAGCATTGAATCTATAAATTACTTTGGGCAGTATGGCCATTTTCACACGATATTGATTCTTTCTAATCATAAGCATGGAATGTTTCTCCATCTGTTTGTGTCCTCTCTTATTTCATTGAGCAGTGGTTTGTAGTTCTTGAAGAGGCCCGATACATTCTTTGTTGGTTGTATTCCTAAGTATTTTCTTCTCTTTGTAGCAATTGTGAATGGCAGTTCATTCCTGATTTGGCTCTCTTTAAGTCTGTTATTGGTGTATAGGAATGCTTGTGATTTTTGCACATTAATTTTGTATACTTAGACTTTGCTGAAGTTGCTTATCAGTTACAGGAGATTTTGGGCTGAGACCATGGGGTCTTCTAAATATACAATCATGTCGTCTGCAAATAGAGACAATTTGACTTCCTCCTTTCCTAATTTAATATGCTTTTTTTTCTTTCCTGATTGAATTGGCTAGAGCATCAAATACTATATTGAATAAGAGTGGTAAGAGAGGGCATCCTTGTCTAGTGCCAGATTTCAAAGGGAATGCTGCTAGTTTTTGCCCATTTGGTATTATATTTGCTGTGGGTTTGTCAGGGCCCTGGGTTTCAAGCACGAAACTGGGCGGCTGTTTGGGCAGACACCAAGATAGCTCCAGGATTTTTTTTCCATACCCCAATAATGCCTGGAATGCCAGCAAGACAGAACCATTCACTCCCCTTGAAAGAGGGCTCAAGCCAGGGAGCCAATTGGTCTAGCTCAGTGGATCTCATCTCATGGACCCCAGCAAGCTAAGATCTTCTAGCTTGAAATTCTCACCACCAGCACAGCAGTCTGAAGTCGACTTGGGACACTCAAGCTTGGTTGGAGTAGGGGCACCCACCATTACTGAGGTTTGAGTAGGCAGTTTCCCCTTCACAGTGTAAACAAAGCCACTAGGAAGTTAGAACTGGGAAGAACCCACTTATACTCAGCAAAGCCCCTGTAGCCAGACTGCCACTCTCCTCCTCTCTGGGCAAGGCATCTCTGAAAGAAAGGCAGCAACCCCAGTCTGGGGCTTATAGATAACACTACCATCTCCCTGGGACCAAGAACCTGGGACAAGGGGCAGCTGTGGGCACAGCCTCAGCAGACAGAAATATTCCTGTCTGCGAGCTCTGAAGAGAGCAGCAGAAGAATGAATGAAAAGGAATAAACAAAGCCTCCAAGAAATATGGGACTAGGTGAAAAGACCAAACCTACATTTGATTGATGTACCTGAAAGTGATGGGGAGAATGGAATTAAGTTGGAAAACACTTTTCAGGATATAGAACTTCCTCAACCTAGCAAGACAGGCCAACATTCAAATTCAGGAATTATAGAGAACACCACAAAGATACTCCTCAATAATAGCAACCCCAAGAAAGTTAATAATCAGATTCACCAAGGTTGAAATGAAGGAAAACATGTTAAGGGCAGCCAGAAAGTTTGGCTTACATGTAAAGAGAAGCTCATCAGACTAACGGCAGATCTCTTTGCAGAAACCTTACAAGTCAGAAGAGGGGGGCCAATATTCAACCTTAAATCTTAAAGAAAATAATTTTCAACCCAGAATTTCATATCTGTCAAACTAAGCTTCAAAAGTGAAGGAAAAATAAAATATTTTACAGACAAGGGAATGCTGAGAGAGTTTGTCACCACCAGACCCGCTTTTCAAGAGCTTCTGAAGGTAGCACTCAATACAGAAAGGATAAGCTGGTACCAGCCGCTGCAAAAAACATAAAAAATTATATATACCATCCACACTATTAAGAAAACTTATCAACCAACAAGCAAAATAACCAGCTAGTATCATAGTGACAGGATCAAATTCACACATAACAATATTAACCTTAAATGTAAGTGCGCTAAATGCCCTAGTTAAAAGTCACAGTCTGGCAAATTGGATAGAGTCAAGACCTATTGATGTGCTATATTCAGAAGACCCATCTCACATGAGCACTAGTTTGTAGTTCTCCTACAGTGAGATAGGTCTCCTGAATATAGAATATCTATCTATCTATCTATCTATCTATCTATCTATCTATCAATCAATCTATCTATCTATCATCTATCCATCTATGTGTGTATATATATATGTATATATTCAGGAGAATATAGCACACACATGGGCTCAAAATAAAAAGATGGAGGAATGTTTACCAAGCAAATGGAAAGCAAATAATAATAATAATAATAATAATAATAATAATAAAAGCAGAGATTGCAATCCTAGTCTCTGATAAAACAGACTTTAAACCAACAAAGATCAAAAGAGAGAAAGAAGGGCATTACATAATGGTAAAGAGATCAATGCAACAAGAAGAGCTAACTATCCTAATTATATGTACACTTAATACAGGAGCACCCAGATTTATAAAGCAAGTTCTTTGAGACCTATAAAGAGACTTAGACACCTACACAATAATATTGGGAGACTTTAACACTCCACTCTCCATATTAGACAGATCAATGATACAGAAAATTAACAAAAATATTCAGGACTTGAACTCAGCTCTGGCCCAAGCAGATGTAATAGACATCTACAGAAGTCTCCACTCCAAATCCACAGAATTTACATTCTTCTCAGCACCCATCTCATTTATTCTAAAATTGAGCCACATAATTGGAAGTGAAATACTCCTTAGCAAATGCGAAAGAACAGAAATCATAACCAACAATCTGTCAGACCACAGTGCAATCAAGTTAGAACTCAGGATTAAGAAACTCACTCAAAACTGCACAACTACATGGAAACTGAACAACCTGCTCCTGAATGACTACTGGATAAACAATGAAATGAAGGCAGAAATGAAGATGTTCTTTGAAACCAATGAGAACAAAGACACACATACCAGCACACCTTTGGAATTTTGTCTTTGGTTCACACTGCTGTATAGCAACATTCACAATAGTATCTGACATAG